TAAGGTTATACATTTAGGGATTAATAACAAGAATTTTAGTTATAAGCTGGGGACACATCAATTAGAAGTAACGGAGGAGGAGAAGGACTTTGAGTATTGGTTGAGCATAGGATGACTATGAGCCACCAATGTGATGTGGCCGTGAAAAAAGCTAATGCGGTCTTGGGATGCATCAGGCGAGGTATTTCCAGTAGAGATAAGGAGATTTTAGTACCGTTATACAAGGCACTGGTGAGATCTCACCTGGAATACTGTGTGCAGTTCTGGTCTCCCATGTTTAAGAAGGAAGAATTCAAACTGGAACAGGTACAGAGAAGGGTTACTAGGATGATCCGAGGAATGGAAAACCTGTCTTATGAAAGGAGACTCAAGGAGCTTGGCTTGTTTAGCCTAACTAAAAGAAGGTTGAAGGGAGATATGATTGCTCTCTATAAATATATCAGAGGGATAAATACTGGAGAGGGAGAGGAATTATTTAAGCTCAGTACCAGGGTGGACACAAGAACAAATGGATATAAACTGGTCATCGGGAAGTTTAGACTTGAAATTAGATGAAGGTTTCTAACCATCAGAGGAGTGAAGTTTTGGAACAGCCTTCCAAGGGAAGCAGTGGGGGCAAAAGATCTATCTGGCTTTAAGATTTAAACTCGATAAGTTTATGGAGGAGATGGTATGATGGGATAACATGGTTTTGGTATTTAAATATTCATGGTAAATAGGCCCAATGGCCTGTGATGGGATATTAGATGGGGTGGAATCTGAGTTGCCCAGGAAAGAATTTTCTGTAGTATCTGGCTGATGAATCTTGCCCATATGCTCAGGGTTTAGCTGATCGCCATATTTGGAGTCGGGAAGGAATTTTCCTCCAGGGCAGATTGGAAGAGGCCCTGGAGGTTTTTTGCTTTCCCTTTGTAGCATGGGGCACGGGTCACTTGCTGGAGGATTCTCTGCTCCTTGAAGTCTTTAAACCACGATTTGAGGACTTCAATAGCTCAGACATAGGTGAGAGGTTTTTCACAGGAGTGGGTGGGTGAGGTTCTGTGGCCTGCGTTGTGCAGGAGGTCGGACTAGATGATCATAATGGTCCCTTCTGACCTTGGTATCTATGAACAGGAAAACTGCCTTAAGTGATCGTTTTAAGTAAAACGATCTCTAAGCATTCAGTGCCGTTCAGTCCGTATTTGGCTGACTTTTCCAGTCTTATGGGTGATCGCTCAAGACCTTTTGCTGTGTATCTTACAACAAAAGCAAATAATTTTCTGATGTTTTACCTTATTTCCATTCTACAGGGCCTTTGCAGTTAGATCTAAAATAAACCCCTCAAAACAAACAGACAAAAACCTCCCCACCTTATGTAATTGTATGTAATTGGAAAATTTTGCCTTTTCAGTAAGTTGGTTCCACTTCGAACAGCCGTTATGGTTATGGGAAAGCTTGGAGGTAAAACCTGTGATTCAGCAAATGACATTGTCAAATGGTGAAAAAAATGAAGCAAGTTTTACCATTGAACATATGTGTTAATATGGCTGTCATAAGAAGCATGGACTCAGGCTCCTGTTAGAGGAGAAAAAAAATAAAATAAAAATGTGAGCCTGGCTCAACATTGCAGGCCAGACCCTTGGCTGGTACAAGTCAGTGAGAAAACAAGATTTATTTCCACTTGCAAACCAAAGTCCCAGGAGAGCCAGATAGATTTTGTACTGTCTTGCACGTTGTCAACAAAATTGGCAGCTAAGATCTGATCCCAGAATCTATGCTTCTGGTTCTGTAGAGGTGCTAACTACTTTCAGCTTCTGTTGAGGCCAGCGGAGATAGGGTGGGCTCATCATCTGGCAGGATTGGGCCTATTATTATTTAAGATTGCAGATAAATTTTCAGATCTCAGTTTGAGTTTTTAATGCATCTTTTTATTTGTCAGCTGAATAAACTTGTTCTTAGCATCGACACCAAACCTAGAAGGAAATACATGTCCTTTTTTATCAGTTGAAGACCTTTTATACACTAGGCTCCTTAAATTACCCCTTTGCTTATAGCTCCACCAGTAGTAGCAGTAGGGGGAGTTTTGGTGTCTTTAAAAGAATGCTGGTGGTTACTGACATTTTTATCTTCATGTCCGGTTTCCACGCCATAGTGTTAAAATGCTGGTGACCAACCAGTACCTTGTCTCTCCTCAACCTCTCGCTGCTGCTGCCACTGGTGGAGGTACAATGGAAGGTGTTTCTTCAGGAAAAAATTCTAGGATAGGCCCAGCCTCAGAGAACTGCCTGCAGGGCTGTATGGTGGAGGTTGCTACAGACTAAGGGAGACACCGCAATAGACCAGTAAATTCACAGGAAGCCTTAAGCACTAGATCACAAGGGTAGTACAGAACAATCACCAAGTAATGAAAGAGAGGTGGTAAGAGTGTCTGCGAATTCTAATATAATGTTTTTGGGAGTATGTGAATAAAACAATTCTATGCTGACAAGATCTATGTAGGGGACGAGAGGGTAAGCTACCAAGGAATCTGCCAGAATGGAATGGGGGGATGCCAGTAGAAATTGGTCTCTCAAGGCTGAAATAAATTGCACTGGAAACTTTGTTCAGCAAATTTCCCCATATTTACTATGATGAACCTTACAGTCCTGTTCATAGGATATTCTTACACAAGAAACTATGAATATTTAGTAGTGTTGTAGTATTTCGGATGGCTGGAAGCATAACTGGGTTTGAAAAAGAACTGGATACATTCATAGAGGTTAGGTCCATCGATGGCTGTTAGCCAAGATGGTCAGGGACACAACCCCATGCTCAGGATATTGTGGCTGATGTGATTAGGCCCTATGATGGTGTCCCCTGAATAGGGCCTAATCACATCAGCCACACTATCAGAGGCTTGTTCACCTGCACATCTACCAATATGATATATGCCATCATGTGCCAGCAATGCCCCTCTGCCATGTACATTGGTCAAACTGGACAGTCTCTACGTAAAAGAATAAATGGACACAAATCAGACGTCAAGAATTATAACATTCAAAAACCAGTTGGAGAACACTTCAATCAATCTGGTCACTTGATTACAGACCTAAAAGTTGCAATTCTTCAACAAAAAGACTTCAAAAACAGATTCTAACGAGACACTGCTGAATTGGAATTAATTTGCAAACTGGATACAATTGACTTAGGCTTGAATAGAGACTGGGAGTGGATGTGTCATTACACAAAGTAAAACTATTTCCCAATGTTTTCCACCCCCCACTGTTCCTCACACATTCTTGTCAACTGCTGGAAATGGCCCACCTTGATTATCACTACAAAAGGTCGTTCTCTATGTATATAAATCTCCCTTCTGTATTTTTCACTGCATGCATCCAATGAAGTGAGCTGTAGCTCATGAAAGCTTATTCTCAAATAAATGTGTTAGTCTCTAAGGTGCCACAAGTACTCCTTTTCTTTTTGCGAATACCGACTAACACGGCTGCTACTCTGAAACATGGTCTGAATGAGTATGACTGCTCTTATGTTTTTCAGAGGAGACAAAAGTCCATTTAAGCATGCACTTGAGTACATTCAGAAAATTGTAAGATGCATTTATTCCCAGGCTTATTTCATGTCACTGAGCTATGAAATTCTGGGTCCAGATCTGACTAAGGAGGCCTCTCTTGTTCTGTCTTAATGTTCCTCTTATCTGAAAATCTTAATGACCAAGTGAAAGTCTTGTAAATTATGTCCAGACAACATTGTGACAGGCACCTTAATAGATAATTTTGATTCTGTCCCTGTAATGGCATTGGCCTCCAAGTACAGTTATTTTCTAATTTCTCAGGTGCCAGAGTATACACCCTTTTGCTTTTGTGCTATGCCTGCTGTTTGTTTTTGCTTTTGGAAAGTGGTGCTGGGTTTGCTTAGAGGTGGTTGGTTGGCTGTTGCAGGACCTCAAGTCTTAAGAATATAAATGGATTCCATTTCCTCCACAAGTAGTAGAGAGCTGATTATGGTGTGTTGCCGCCACTGAGAGTGCCAGTTTGGGGAAGGGAATGGTTTAGCTGCTGTTTGGCTATAGCATGAGTAACCTTCCAGTCTGGCAGGAAAGTATTGTGATATGTTTTTATTTAATAAGTGGATGGGAATGCTTTAGTTGAGATGTTTGTGTGCATAATGAATGTGCTTTGGTGTTTTAAAAGTGCTGTAATGTGGGCATGGGACAGGAAGGCTTGGTGTTTGCAAATAATACAGAACTGTCTACAATCAGAGTTGAAATCCATAAGGAATTATCTGTGGGAACTTAGTGAAAAGCAACAACAGCAATATTAAAAACCTGGCATTGTTTTTATTTTCAAATGTTGATTTGTTTTTTCTGGGACATGTCGATGTGGTAACATGGGAGAAGGGTGATTCTTTTCTTCTTGGGGTGTGTACATGGAGTTTACTTAGGTAATAAAACTCTTGGACTGTGCCTTTTGTTTAATCAGCAAGGTTGCTGGAGAATCCTTGAGGGGGCCATTTAGGGATCTGGGGCAAAAATTGGGGATTGGCCCTGCTTTGAGCAGGGGATTGGACTAGATGACCTCCTGAGATCCCTTCCAACCCTGATATTCTATGATTCTATGATAAGAACATTGAGTGAAAGGACTTTCTCAGGCCTTGTCTACACTAAGGGTTTTGTGGACAAAAGTTATGTCAGTGATTAAAACCCGGTATAATTACATTGCTTGTACATGTTTTCACAATGCTCCTTCTTTCAGCAGAGCGTGTCCACAGTTGGTACTCTAGCATCGACAGAGAGAGCAGTGCACTGTGCAACTCACCACCTTCTGCAGCCAGGTGGTGTGGGAAGGCAGAATGGGTCACAGTGTATCATGGTAGGGGCTCAACATCCCATGATCCATTTTTCCATGAGCTTCCGACTGAGTTTCAAGGCATTTTTCAATGATCCCTGTTTACTGTGCACCCGCCATCTCTCTGAAAGGATGGATCCTGCACTGCTCTCTACTGTTGTCACTGTTATGAACACGTTATGGCTCGTCATGCAGTATATCATGAACACCCAATCTGAACATGAATCAGAGGTGCCTAACCTGCTATGAGCTCTGGAAAGAAACAACACCAGATTACTTTTGACATTCACGGAGCAGCTGGATGCGGAGGATCGTCGCTTTTGGGCTCGGGAAACAAACACTGAATGGTGGGATTGCATCATTATGCAGGTCTGAGTTGACAAGCAGTGGCTGCAGAATTTTCAGATATGAAAGCCACCTTCCTGGAACCGTGTGCAGAGCTCACCTCAACACTGCAGCGCAAGGACACCAAAATGAGAGCTACCCTCTCAGTGGAGAAGCGTGTGGCAATTGCTGTGTGCAAGCTGGCTACTCCAGACTGCCAGTGGTCGGTTGCAGAGCAGTTTGGAGTCAGGAGGTCCATCTTTGGGGCTGTGTTAATGCAAGCGTGCAGGGCCATTAATCGCATACTGCTACGAAGGACTGTGACTCTTGGCAATGTGCATGAAATAGTGGCAGCAATGAGATTCCCTAACTGTGGCAGGGCGATAGATGGCATGCATATCCTGATTTTGGCCTTGGACCATCTTGTGACAGAGTACATCAATAGAAAGGGGTGCTTCTCTATGGTATTGCAGGCACTTGTGGATCTCCGTGGCCGTTTCACTATCAACACGGGGTGGTCCGGGAAGGTGCATGATGCATGCATCTTCAGAAATGCTGGACTTTACAGAAAGCTGCAAACAGGGACTTTCTTTCCAGACCAGAAGATTCAAATTGGGGATGTTGAAATGCCCATAGTGATCCTGGGAGACCCAGTGTACCCCTTACTCCCGTGGCTCATGAATCCTTACATGGGAAACCTGGACAGCCACAAGGAATGCTTCAACAACAGGCTGAGCAGGTGCAGAATGATGGTAGAATGTGCCTTTGGCAGATTAAAGCACCCTAGGGCTGTCTTTATGGCAGGTTGGACCTAAATGAGGAAAATATTCCCATGGTCATAGCAGCCTGCTGTGCGCGCCGTAATATTTGTGAGGCTAAGGGTTAAAAGTTTCCCCTGGGGTTGAGCACCTGGTGGCTGATTTTGAGCAGCCAGATACTATGGCTATTAGAGGAGTACAGTGGGGGGCAGTTCAAATCAGGGAGGCTTTGAGGCACCATTTTGACAATGAGATCCAGTAATGTGTCATTACAGCACTCTGTCATGCTTTGTTGCTGCTTTTCATTAAAATTTTGTAGATTCCTGACCGTGATTTGTTCTCGGCAAATGATCGAATTGCCACTGAGTATTAATTCCAGCAGCAACCACCATGTGTAGGAGACAAAGAATAGTTATCTTTCACAGAGTATGTTTTTATTAACTACCAATTAACAACACACACAGAAGGCTTGGTGGGAAGGGAGATAACAATGAAGGGCAGTGTAGGTGCCTGTATAAGTGGTCTGTTTTTCAGAAGTGTTTAACACCAACAGCTCCGTTGGAAATCAAAGGAATCTGTGGTTGCTCAGCATTTCTAAGAATCAGGCCACTTATATATAGGTACCTAAATTTTAGGTACTCAGTGTGAGACTCTTTCACTTAGTGCTTTAATCTGTCCAGTATTGGGATAAATACAGCGTAAATAAGTGTTTCCATTGTAGATAGTAGTGGTTCTGAAGTGGGCTATATGATTCAGTGTTAACTCTCATAAACCTCTGAGATATTTTAAAAAAGGAAACAAAAGAAAGCAAGTTCCTATACTAGTTACATTTAAAATAATGAAGTGAAATAAAGTGAATGAATGAAGAAATAAATAAAGTAAAGATATAGTGAGTTGAAGATAAAATTCTGTTCATGTTAATCTGCTTGGTCTTTTTGTTAAGATCAAGATGAGTGTTTAATGCAGGGGTTCTCAAACTGGGGGTCGGGACCCCTCTGGGGGTAGTGAGGTTATTACATGGGGGGGTCGCAAGCTGTCAACCTCCACCCCAAACTCCGCTTTGCCTCGAGCGTTTATAATGGTGTTAAATATACAAAAAAGTGTTTTTAATTTATAAGGGGGGGGTTGCACTTAGAGGCTTGCTATGGGTCACCAGTACAAAAGCTTGAGAACCGCTCGTTTCATGTCTTGGGGGGGGGGCTGTCTTACACTGCAATGTTAGATTGAGCTCCTAACCCAACTCCCATCCACATACACACATCTCTAGCTCAAGTTAAGTGGTGCTTTAAGTTTGAGCTAGTTAACCATAAGTCGAGGGGTGATTGGAGCTCAAATGCTGCTAAAACTCTAGGACAGGGGTTCTCAAACCGGGAGTTGCGAGGTTATTACATGGGGGGGAGGGGGTTGCAAGCTGTCAGCCTCCATCCCAAACCCCACTTTTTCTCCAGCATTTATAATGGTGTTAAATATATCAAAAAGTGTTTTTAATATGTGGGGTGGGGGTCACACTCAGAGGCTTGCTGTGTGAAAGGGGTCATCAGGACAAAAATCTGAGAACCCCTGCTCTAGGAAGTAATGCATTGGTGATATAACACTGATTATAACTCAGCAGCTGTTAATCTAATCATTCTGTGTAGTTTGAGTGGTGTTTTGCAGTGTGGTTACTCAAACTAGCTTGCGTGGAGTAACTCTAGTGTACTAATTTGAGCTAACTGTTGCAGTGAAGATAAGTCCTGTATCCTGCACTTGCAGGAGTATGGCCTTTTTGGTCAGGTGAAGGTTTGCCATCAGTACTGCTGATTCCCATTGCCAACCTGCATACCACAAACATTCTGTTCTGAGAAATTCTGCCCTTCCTAGATAGAACTGAAGGAGGAATTTTAGCTTATGTGAATGTCCTGGCTCATTTTTGATCAGTACCAGTAGAGGTTCTTTTTATAACTGGAAGATCAGATAAGTATTCTATAGATAAGGTGTCTGTAGTGCTAGATTGAAACAACTCAGGCATTTGGCCTCCTTTTTAATTCTTCCTTTTCCCTTCATGTAATTTGGTGTGTTGAGTGACTAATCCCATTAAATAAGTTATTCACACGTCCGTTGCATGCAAGTTGCCTTTACAATGACATTGTTTACATACTAATATCTGCAAACCGGGGCTATCAAGAGTGTTTGAGACGCAAGATGTGTGACCAGGAATGAGCAATCTGAACTGAGCTGTCACCTCACAAATGAAACAAACTGAAAATGATGGGGCTAAAGTTACTATATTTTATGCTGCACATTTAAAACTGTTAACCAGTTACCCAAGGAGTCAGTTTCAAAATATGGAGATCTGTTGATGGGTGTGGAACTGCTTGTCCCTGCCTGTAACTTTGTAATCTGGTTTAAAAGTGGGTCAGCAGGCTGTCCCCCATCTTACTGTTTTAGTCTAACATTAAGATTTTATGCAGGAATGCTCATACTGTGCCTCCCTGAGGACAGCAGTGGTGACTTGCAAAGAGCCCAAGGATATCTATCTCATTAAAACAAAGTAGATTTGCAGCTACATTCATCTCTTCAGTGCAGGGTATATATATCAGGTCACATACTGATCTTCATATGCAGTGTAGTCCATCTTGATCTGAGCAAGCAGGCCACAACTTTCATGCTGAAGATGAGGGTGGCTGTGATCTGCATTTGGCCAGTGGGATGCACTTTCGCTATCCTTGTGTTGTAGATGGTAAAACTGATGGTAAAATAACTTAGCAAGTGCACGTGTATTACTTATTTCTTGAATAAGTAACTCATCCATTTATTGCTCATCGCAGTGAGCATCTACAGCTTAGGGTGCAGTTTGTGGCCATTTTGGAAAAAAATAGTTTACGTTCCTATGTGCAATCTCTACCAGCTCCATGAGTGTCCCACAGTGATGGAGATGTCGTGTCAGTTTTCATTTGCTTTCTGGTTATGTTTAATAATGTAGGAATATTCTTTTCTTGACTTAATTTAACTAGATTTGATTAACTGCTCATCAGATGGGCCTTAATTGATAACGATTTATCAGGAGAGACTTATTGAACAGGGAGATGTCTTGCATCTGTCTTAAATATGAAGACACAGATGTGCTACAGCATAGTTGCTTGGGCTGAAGTTTCAGAACAGGGTGATTATTTTTTTATTTTTTTTTTTTTTACTTCCTTTGTGTCTGTGAGGCTGTTGATTGTCTGTTGTTTGTCTCTCCTCTATTTGCTTGCTCTGGAGATGTTTGTGGCTATCACTTTTGCAACCTGCTGTGAAGGATGGATTTAATACACTGGAATTGATGTCACACTTCTGATTTTCTTGGGGGCAGTGCAGAGAACTTGGGGATATTATAAGGACCCCATTTTTTTTTTAAACAAGACTTTTCTGCTTTTAAATGTGATGCCATCAACTTAAATAATAATTCTTTCAAAATGTTTTTCCTACTGTAGTTACAACCAATTTCAGTTGTTACAAATGCAATAATTAGATAATGTTTCCTATATTTGGCAGCCTTTTGTGTATATCGTTTGTTTAACTGTATCAGTCCATTTCCCTTGTTTGTGTGGGGCATTCACACAGCAACAGGGGAGAGTATTTACAGAAGAGGAAAATGGGATTGAGAAACCACAAAAATTAGCAGGAAAATTTGGGGCTGGGGTGCAAATGCAGAACTCTTTAACATGCTTAGCAAAAATGACTAGATTTTGAGTTGATGGTACCGGAGGATAGGTACCTGTGAAACTTAAATATATATACATATATTATATATATATATTTTTTTGGTTAATTTGTAGGGGTACCAGAAGATACTTCAGTGATGATAGACCCACAAGAGTGAAAATTATGAATGAAATGCATTAACATCCCCCTTTGACCCTGATCTCTAATAGACTTCTTGTAGCCCTTGGAAGAGAGGGTCAGGGGAGAAGGGTTGAAGGTCATCATGAAGCTAAAGCAGCGAGTGGTACTGCTGGCCATCCTCCTTGTCATCTTCATTTTCACAAAAGTTTTCCTCATTGACAACTTGGACACTTCAGCTGCCAACCGGGAGGACCAGCGGGCCTTTCACCGCATGATGGCAAGCTTGCGTGTGGAGCTAGACCCCCGACTTGATCATACGCTGCAGTCCCCCTGGGAGATTGCCGCCCAGTGGGTGGTACCACGGGAAGTGTATCCCGAGGAGACGCCAGAGCTAGGGGCTGTTATGCATGCCATGGCTACCAAGAAAATTATAAAAGCTGATGTGGGCTACAAAGGGACCCAGCTGAAAGCTTTGCTGATACTTGAAGGGGGACAGAAAGTGGTCTTCAAACCTAAGAGGTAAATATATCTATCAGTGACTGGATAAAACACCCTATTTAGGTTTTTTCCTCCCTGTTGATTCTTTAATTTATGAACTGATATATGTCCATATTGCATATGATACAGTCTAGCATTCAGAAAGTGGAATCGAGCCATGCTGGCGATTTGGTAATATTCAGCTTGTCTGCCAGCTGAACTTGAGATGTTCAGCATTGACCTCCAAACCCAACCTCTCTATAGTTCAGAGGCATAATCAACAAGGTTGGTCAAACCTTGCATTTCTGAACACTGGCTTCTGACTAGTGTTTGCTGGCCAGATGCCAGGTACCTGAAGAGGATTCATGTAGCATTCCACAGTGAGAGGCTAGGTGTCATGATCTGGGTGCCTTATGGGAGTGAGACTCGGTGTGGGGGTGGGCGGGCAGGAAGTGGAAATTGATGGTCATCTTCAAACTAGGCCTAGAAGGCTGTGTTGCTAGCTGTGGAATGTAGTGTTTTACGTTTTTCCTTGTATATGTCAATATGGAAATTGCATTTCTGCCTTGATTGAACATTTTCTCATTCCACCATAAAGCTTATTATGTGACTTGTGTATGCCTGTAATGCCTTCTAAACTAACTTTCCTTTAGGAAAAGGTGGACTGCTGGAATTTTCAGTAACATTTCTCTAATGGCCACTTGCACAACTGGTTTGGAGTTATATCATGGGGCTGTACTATGTTGAAATAGTATGAACTTTTTGCATTGAAGTGGTGGTGATGCAGCTTACACAGGATACTGCATGCATATTGTAAATACCATGTCTTGTTACTGTATTTCTGTAGTGCTTTTTATACAACTGAATGCCATAAAGAAGTTCACAAAGCCCTAAATTACATTCCAGTAATGGAATGTCTGTCTGCAGGCCGGCAAAATGGTTGTACATATCAAGGACATGTACAACCAGGAATGTTTTTAGGAACACCAGACAATTTGTGGTGGTATGCAATGCGTGTGAGAAAAGAGGGGATGCAGAGGGGAATTTTTGGCAAGGATGTAGGAGTTTATCCCTGCCTCTTTTTCATAGGATTCTGGAAGTTTTTAAGCAATTGCCCACACTCAGCTTCAGAGCAGGTAGTCAGGTTCTCTATTTACCATCTTTCTGATTGAATCCAGTAGATCTGCTGGAGAGTTAGCAGACTGAGTGGGCAGTCAAAAAAGTAGAGCCCTGTGCGGATACTAAATCTATATCTGAGGTTATAAATTGGTATATCCAATTTATATATCCACGGAGCTGCAGGGCTCTGCCAGGAACCGCAGCAGTGGAAGCAGCAGTCTGGTAGGCTGTTGTTCCCAGGAGCAGCTGGGGTGGGTACCATGCTCACCGGCAGCTGTCCCTGGTCTTGCTAGTGCAGTTAGTAGGGCTGGGAGCGGTACAACCACGCTGGAGGAGCCGCTGGCATGGTGCGCTGGCTCTTGAGAATGTTATGAACCATTAGGAAAGGGATAGATGAGAAGATAGAAAGATGAGAAGATATCTTAATGCCACTATATAAATCCATGGTATGCCCCATCTTGAATACTGCATGCAGTTCTGGTCACCACATCTGAAAAAAGATATATGACTATTGGTAAAGGTACAAAGAAGGGCTACAAAAATAATTAGGGGTTCCATATGATTAAAAAGACTGGGACTGTTCAGCTTGGAAAAGAGACACCTAAGGGGGGGGGATATGATAGACATCTATAAAATCATGAATGGTGCAGAGAAAATGAATTGGAAAGTGTTATTTACCTCTTCACGTAACACAAGAACCAGGGGTCATCCAATGAAATTAATAGGTAGCAGGTTTAACACAAACATGAGGAAGTACTACTTCATACAAGGCACAGTCAGCCTGTGGAACTTGTTGCCAGGGGATGTTGTGAAGGCCAAAACTGTAACTTGGTTAAAAAAAAGAAATAAATAAATTCATGGAGGTTAGGTCCATCAATGGCTATTAGCCAAGATGATCAGGGACACAACCCTGGGTATCCTAAGCCTCTAACTGCCAGAAGCTGGGACTGTATGACAGGGGATGGATCACTTGATAATTGCCCTGTTCTGTTCTTTCCTTCTGAAGCACCTGGCACTGGGCACAGTCGGGAGACAGAGTACTGAGCTAAATAGACCATTGGTCTGAAGTAGTATGGCCATTCTTATGTTCGAAAGCAAGGATTTGACTGGACCTCACCTCAGGGTCATAAGTAGGGCTCAGTGACCTGCGACCTCCGTGACTTCTGCAACGGCCAGTGCAGCTGACCCCAGGGCCACCCAAGCAGCTGGCCCCGCAGACTGCTGTAGTGGCTCTGAATCCAGCTTCTCAGGCGGCCCTGCAGCCAGCCACACCAGCCACTGCTGGAATGGCCCTGGGACCAGCTGCTACTCTGGTGGCCCCTGGCAGCTGGCTCCTGGGATTGCCTGAGCAGCAGTCCCAGGGGCAGTGGGAGCAGCCACAGGTCAGCAGTGGTCCTGGGGCAGATGGAGCAGCGGCTGGCCCCAGGGCTCCCTCACAGTGGTGGCTGAAGCAGCCGCTGGCTCCCCAGGACTCCCCCCACAGTCACTGATGCTGCAGGCTCCCCCTCTGGGAGCATCCTGTTTCTTGCCCCGCCCCTCAAGATTCAATCAGGTATTTATGGTATAAGTAATGGACAGGTCACAGGCCACGATTTTTTGTTTCTTGCCTGGGACCTGTCCATGACATTTACTAAAAATACCCATGATTAAGTCATAGCCTCAGCCCTGGTCTACACTACGAGTTTAGGTCGAATTTAGCAGCATTAGATCGATTTAACCCTGCACCCGTCCACATGACGAAGCCATTTTTGTTGACTTAAAGGGCTCTTAAAATTGATTTCTGTACTCCTCCCCAAAGAGGGGATTAGCGCTGAAATCGACATCACCGGGTTGAATTTGTGGTAGTGTGGATGCAATTTGACGATATTAGCCTCCGGGAGCTATCCCAGAGTGCTCCATTGTGACCGCTCTGGACAGTACTCTCAACTCAGATGCACTAAACAGGAAAAGCCTTGGGGACTTTTGAATGTCATTTCCTGTTTGGCCAGCATGGCACAGGTGACCATGCAGAGCTCATCAGCAGAGGTGACTATGGAGTCCCAGAATCACAAAAGAGCTCCAGCATGGACCGAACAGGAGGTACTGGATCTGATTGCTGTATGGGGAGATGAATCCGTGCTATCAGAACTCCATTCCAAAAGACTAAATGCCAAAATATTTGAAAAAATCTCCAAGGGCATGATGGACAGAGGCTATCACAGGGACCCGCGGCAGTGCTGTGTGAAACTTAAGGAACTAAGGCAAGCCTACCAAAGAGGCAAACGGCTGCTCCGGGTCAGAGCCCCAGACATGCCGCTTCTATGATGAGCTGCATGCAATTCTAGGGGGTGCCCCTACCACTACCCCACCCCGTGCATGGACTCCTGCAAAGGGGGAGTCTCATGCAACAGGGACGAGGATTTGGGGACAAGGAAGATGAGGAGGAGGATGAAACCGTTCTCCCTGGCAGCCAGGAACTGTTTATCACGCTGGATCCAATACTCTTCCTAGCCCTCCCAAGGCGGGCTCCCGGACCTTGAAGGCAGAGAAGGCACCTCTGGTGAGTGAACCTTTGTAAATATAATACATGGTTTAAAAGCAAGCGGGTTTAATGATTAATTTGCCCTGAAGACTTAGGATGCATTTGCTGCCAGTACAGCTACTGGAAAAGTGTTAACGTGTCTGGGGATGGAGTGAAAATCCTCCAGGGACATCTCAATGAAACTCTTCTGGAGGTACTCCCAAAACCTTTGCAAAAGGTTTCTGGGGAGGGCAGCCTTATTCTGTCCGTCCATGGTAGGACACTTTACCACGGCAGGCCAGTAGCATGTAGTCATTGCATAACAAAGCATGGCAGTGTATAATCCCGGTGGTTGCTGGCATTCAAGCAAAATCCATTCTTTATCTCTCTGTATTAGCCTTAGTAGAGTGATCTCATTCATGGTTACCTGGTTGAAATAGGGGAATTTTATTCAGGGGACATTCAGAGGTGGCCGTTCCTGCTGGGCTGTTTGCCTGTGGCTGAAAAGAAATGATCCCCGCTGTTAGCCACTGGGGAGAGGTGAAGCAATCATCCCAGAGATTTGGGTGTGGTGGGGGAGGGTTAGTTGGGTTTGCGGTACACGTTAACCTGAAATCCGCAGCCCCTCCTTTTAAATGGACAGCCCATTTTAAATGGCCAACCCAACGTTCATTTTGTGCTTTCCTGCACTCTGACGTTACTTGCCTCCATGCATTTTGCTGAGCTCTTTCAGTGCGGGAGGACTGCATGATCTCAGAGAACATTTCATCGCGAGTGTGGTTTTTTTTCGCTGCCTTATCTGCGCTAGCCTCTGGGATGGAGACGATAGGGGGAGCGTTGAAACATTTGCAGCTGCGGGAGGGAAAAAAGGGAGAGTAGTATTTAAAAAGACACTTTTTAGAGAACAATGGGTAGACTCTTTCACGGTGAACCAAGCTGTTAACATTACATAGTACATGTGCTTTCGGTACAAGGTCGCATTTTGCTGCTTACATTGAGGGCCTGCCGGTTTGATGTGAGAGATCACACATGCACGGCTGGGCACCAACGGGTGTTTGGTATGGGAAATAAGGGCGCTGCTGTTTGAAACCATTCCCACATGTTATGAAGGTTAAAGAAGCCAAAAGACTTTGGCTTACCATGGCTGCCTGCAAGCTGAATTCTGTTGCCCGGTCCAGCGTGCTTTTAAACGTCCAAATGCACATTCTACCACCATTCTGCACTTGCTTAGCCTATAGTTGAACAGCTCCTGACTACTGTCCAGGGTGCCTGTGTATGGCTCCATGAGCCATGGAATTAAGGGGTAAGCTGGGTCCCCAAGGATAGCTATAGACATTTCAACATCCCCAATGGTTATTTTCGGGTCTGGAAAGTAAGTCCCTTGCTGCAGCTGTTCAGACAGACCAGAGTTCCTGAAGATGTGAGTGTCATGTACCTTTCCCGGCCATCCCACGTTGATGTCGGTGAAACGTCCCTTGTGATCCATCAGTGCTTGCAGCACCACTGAAAAGTACCCCTTGCGGTTTACGTACTGGCTGCCAAGGTGGTCCGGTCCCAAGATAGGGATATGCGTTCTGTCTGTCGCCCCACCACAGTTAGGGAATCCCATTGCAGCAAAACCATCCACTATGACCTGCACATTTCCAAGAGTCACTACCCTTGATAGGAGCAGCTCAGTGATTGCGTTGGCTACTTGGATCACAGCAGCCCCCACGGTAGATTTGCCCGCTCCAAATTGATTCCCGACTGACCGGTAGCTGTCTGGCTTTGCAAGCTTCCGGAGGGCTATCGGTACTCGCTTGTGAACTGTGAGGGCAGCTCTCATCTTGGTATTCTTGCACTTCAGGGCAGGGGAAAGCAAGTCGCAAAGTTCCATGAAAGTGCCCTTACGCATGCGAAAGTTTTGCAGCCACTGGGAATCATCCCATACCCGCAACACGATGCGGTCCCACCAGTCTGTGCTTGTTTCCCGGGCCCAGAATCGGCGTTCCACCGCATGAGCCTGCCCCATTGCCACCAGGATGTCCAAATTGCCGGGGCCTGTACTTTGAGAGAAGTCTGTGTCCGTGTCCTCATCACTCTCGTCACCGTGCTGCCGTTGTCTCCTCGCCTGCCTTTGCAGGTTCTGGTTCTGAACATACTGCAGGATAATGCATGAGGTGTTTACAATGCTCATAACTGCCGCGGTGTTCTGAGTGGGCTCCATGCTTTCCATGGTATGTCGTCTGCAGGAGAACAGAGTTGCAGTGGAAGCAGTGGCTGACGATGGATGCCACGAGAATAGATATTTATAGAGAATGACGAGAGGACCTGTGAGGTGGATTCATGAGAGCAGAGTTGCAGCAGAAGCGGGAGCCCATGACAGCCAACATGGAGAAATTCGCTATCGAGATGAGCAGGAGAGCAGATTTGCAGCTGAAGCAGTGGATGATGACGGTCATATAGAGGACCTGGAAGGTGGATTCATGGCACCAGGAGGGCAGAGTTGCATCGAAAGCGGTGGTTCGATGACGACGGTTAGCAGTCCTACTGCACTGTCTGTTGAAAGCAGTATGGCGTCCGCACGGAAAAAAAATGCGAAACAATTGTCTGCCGTTGCTTTCACGGAGGGAGGGGCGACTGATGACGTACCCAAAACCACCCACGACAATGTTTTTGCCCCATCAGGCATTGGGAGCTTAACCCAGAATTCCAATGGGTGGCGGAGACGGCAGGAACTGTGGGATAGCTATCCACAGTGCAATGCTCTGAAAGTCAAGACTAGCGACAGTACTGTGGACTCACTCCGCCGACTTAATGCGCTTAGTGGGGACACACGATCAACTGTATAAAATCGCTTCCTAAAAAATCGACTTCTATAAATTCAACCTAATTCCGTAGTGTAGACATACCCTTAGTCATAAATTATCCTCCCACCCAAAAGGTGAGTCACGATTAAAGCACACTAGCAGATATTGTGGCAGACATACACTGCTGCTGTACCTGTTCTGGATAGTCCCTAGGGCTATTAATTGTCTAACTTGCACTAACTAGCTGCAGATTTTAAGGATTATTAGATCATTAGTATATCATGTGCCATAAAATTTCACTCTGTTACTAGGATCAATATGGGGGTAACTTGTGTTTGACTAAAGCATATCTTATAGAAAGGCATCCAGTCTTGATTTGAAGACGTCAGGAGATGGAGAATCCACCACTCTCCTTGGTAATTTGTTACATTGGTTAATCGTCTTCAGATTAGAAGGCTTTTTTCTTTTATTTTTTATTTTTAAAAACAGTGAATTTGTCTGGCTTCAGCTTCCAGCCACTGATTCTTGTTATGTCTCTTTCTGTTAAAGAGCCTCTTAATTCCTGGTATTTTTGCCCTAGGAAGATATTTATTCACTGTAATTAAGTCACCTCTCAGTCTGTTTATACATGCAAGGATTGCACTAGTACTTTTTACATCTAGGAGCTGATGTTGAGTTTTGTCTACTATGACTTCTAAATCCTTTTCAGAGTCACTACTTCCTAGGATACAGTCCCTGATTCTATAGGTATGGCTTGTATCCTTTGCTCTGAGGTGTATGACCGTGCATTTTGGTTGTATTAAAACTCATTTTGTTTGACTGGTCCCAGTTTACCAGGAGATTCAGATCAATGTGTGACTGCCCTGTTCTCACTATGTACCTCTCTACTAATCTTTACACTCTCTTTAATATCAGTCAACTCATTCCTCCTCTCCCACAAGAAATCATTTTGGAGGTGACCCAGAGCCAATTTCACTTCAATGATTCTTGCTCATGTGACTCTCTTAACTTTACTGAGGAGAATCCCCCCATAAATCATTTTGTTTTTCCATTATTCATTGCATTTACAGATATGCCAGAGACTACGTAGTAGAAGGAGAGCCATATGCTGGATATGACAGACACAATGCGGAGGTGGCAGCCTTTCACTTGGACAGGTATGGAACTATTGGGTTAATTATTTAATTATTCTCTTGTTTTTATTTTGTTTTGTTTTGTTTTTTGGCACCAGTTCACTTCAGAGAGGGTGCCTGAGACATTGATTTCCAACCGGCTCATTGAGTAGAACAAAAAATGTTGTAAAATGTGATGACATGATAGAGTCCAATGAGCAAGGTTTCTGCAAAGGAAATAGTATCACCCTAACTTATTAGAATGCTTTGCACATGTCAACAAAGTAATGGATAAAAAAGAACAAGTTGGGCACAGTTTACATAGACTTTCAAAGGGTTTTAATTAGGTTCCTCATGAGAGACAGCTAAAGAAACTAAGTAGTCATGGGGTGAGAGGTAAAGTATTATCATGGATCAAAAACTGACCAAGAGACAGTGAGAATAAATAGTCAATTTTCATCTTGGCAAAAAGTGCATAATGAGGGTGCCTTAAAGTTCTGTACTAGGTCTTGTGTTTAGTATATTTGTCAATGATCTGGGAAGGGGGGTGAGCAGTGAGAAAGCAATTTTTTCAGATGATATAGTGTTATTTAGGTTAGTCAAGTCCACAGAAGACTGAAGCACATCAGAGGGACCTAACCAAGGTTGGTGAATGGGCAACATGATGACAAACGAAGTATATTGATGGTACACGCAGAGTAATTCACGCTGGAGGGAAAAAATCAACTACTCATATACCTTAGAAGGGTCTAAATTAATTATCAATTTGGGAAAGGGGCCTGGAAATCATTGTGGACAGTTCAATGTGAAGACCTCAGCTCAATGTGCAGCTGCAGTCAAAAAAAACAAATACGATGGTAGGATACGTAAGGTTGGAAAATACTATGGAAAATATTGCTATTCAATTATATGAATCAGTGGTGCAGCTTCATCTAGAATACTGCCTGCAGTGTTGGTCACTCCATTTCAAAAAGGCTATTACACAATTAGATGGGGTTTTAGAAAAGGGTACAGAAAATAATTGGGGGGAATGGAAAAAAAACTCATATGAAGAAAAAGTGAAAATGTTGGAATCCCTTACTTTAGAAAGGAAGTGGTGAATAAGAGGGGACGTGATAAAAGTATACAAAATAATGAATTATCTAGAGAAGGTAGATTAGAACGTTCTGTTCTCCTGTCTCATAATACAATAACAAAGGGAGATTAAATGAAATTGAAAGAGGCAAATTCAAAACTGATAAAAGGAAATATGTTTTCACAAAACATGCAATTCAGCTGTGGAATTCATTGCCAGAGGATATCATTGAGGTTAAAAACTGAGCAAGATTCAGAAAGGGATTTGGTTACATAGTTAATACGACAATAGCTTTTAGAAGAGATATTAAGCCAATTGTGAACTGCTAGGAACTGGGTGGTTTCTTGCACCTTTCTCTGACTTGTCTGGTGCTGGACTCTGTTGGAGACAGGATACTGGACGTTGAACCATAGCTCTGATCTGGCATGACAGTTGCTGTGCTCCAATTCCTGTGTTGAATTGTACAAAAGCAATACATATTCAGACTATTTTTGCTGTGAACTTTATGCCAGCTTTCTTTCATATTCCACAATCAGGGAGGTAAAGTAGGGTCTATTTTCCTGCATGGGGCACAGCGGTATCCTTTCTCAGCCACACTTTTTTCTACTGTTTGGCAATAGGATTATATTGGACTAAATAGAGTAAAGTTTCTGTTTCTATAAGGGATACTGCCCCAACGCCATTGAGTTCTTGTTCCTCTAGGCTGTCCAGTGAGAGATCGGATTTTGGATCTACTTTTCCTCATAATTTACAACCTCTTCAGGACTTGTGTGGCAGGTGCCTACCTTCTGTTAAGAAGGTCTGATGGGAGTTATTTCAGAGCTGAAAATTGTTGCTCCTAGATCTGTGGGAGGGGCCTCTGTGGAGCATGAGTTTGACACCTGGGGTGGATCGGGACCACTTGTACTACTTTTTTTCTGGAATCCACAGCAGCTTCAAATTGTGCAAATTGCAAGCTTGCTTCTTTTTTTTTTAAGTATGTTTCTTGCGGTTATGTTGCAAAGATGACCTCTTGAATATGATTCCATGTAGTGCTGTCTTATACCTAAGCAGTAGTTCTGGTGAGGTGTGAACTGGCATCTTTCCCATTCATCACAATAGGGTGCTAATATTTAACTCTGATGCTGACACTTCAAAGGATACCTCTTGTAAATAGTCTTAATTCTGTGCCCCTTCACATATCACATTTGCTCATACAAATTGGATAATTGCACACATCCAAATCTGTTGAACTCTTTTACTATCCTGTATATCTCCAGCATGATTTGTTAAGACGAACATTCTTCTTTGCCTATTTTGAATAATACTTTGCATTTCTTTTGGGCTTTCTGTCTGAGGATCTAAAAGCAGTTTACAAACGTTAAAGAACTAACCTTCATAGTACCTCTGTGAGATAAATATTTCCATTTTACAGAGGGGACAACTGAGGTATAAAGGTTAAGGGTGGGTCTTTCAAACGTGCTTAAGTGAATTAAGAGTGCAAGTTGTATTGATACTTGTGCTCCAAACTCACGTAGGCACTTTTGAAAATCCCACCCTAAACACCCAAGTTGCCTGTGGTCACACAGTAAGTCTAACAGACACAGGAACAGAACTCACTGACAGACTTGTGCTTATCTGCTAAACTATCTTTCCCACCTTTCTTGTGTTTCTGAATGTCTTTGTGTTTTCCAAAGACACCCAGTTCTCTTAAACTAAGGGTTTAAATTCCAATAGAGTTTATCGGGTCGTTTCTGGGAATTAGTATAAATTATCTTTCCATGTGGCTAGCCAAGGCCCTGTGTTTTTTGCTTTGAGCTGCTACATGAGAGACCATATATTTTGTGGTATGAGGTCTCATTTCCTGGGCTGAGTTCTGTGAAGACACTGTATTTGGCCCTTGAAGAAAAGGTGTATCTCATGCTGCTGTGCAGTGACCACTCAGACCAATATAGGAGCATTGCTGATGGGCTATAAAAGGAGTCTCGTACATCCAGCCTTCCTTAGCCAAAGGAAAGTCTTGAAAGAAGATAAAGTACAAATGGTGAAGGATTAATTTCCAATGGGATTCCAAGCTTAGCACCTGCTGTAAGGCAACCATCTTTGATTTTGCACAGTGGCTTGGAGGTCTGATGTGGTTTTTAGATTTGAAACTGCTATCCCTGTTAAAATTCTCATACTTTGTCACCCCTCTTCCCCCCGAAACAGAATTCTGGGTTTCCGACGAGCTCCACTGGTGATTGGCAGGTTTGTGAATCTGCGTACAGAGATCAAACCTGTTGCAACAGAGCAGCTGCTGAGTACCTTCCTGATGCTGGGTAAGTGGGTTCTAGGGATTGTGCAGCCCATTGAAAATAAGCATGTTAAATAATAATAATAAAAAAAAAAGAGCAGTGGGAAACTGGCATAACTGTATAACAACTACTGTATAGGAACCTGATAAGCTGCTTCCAGCCCTTTGGAGGGATCTTAACACTGGTATAACCTTGTTTGGTGGGGAAAAGCTGGAGGGGAATTATTTTTCTACAAAAAATACTTTGGTTTACCTGTAATTTTTGTATGTTCCTTTTTGCAGATATTTGTTTGAATAAGTATTTTCTCCCTAATGTCAGAGCAGTCAGAAGAATTTAGGAATAGACCTGAATTGAAAAAATGGAATTATATCTTACTCTGAGTAAACTGAATGGACGGTTGGAATGATGTGGCTTGCTAATATACCAAATGTTGTGTGTGTAGCACCAACAGTGTGCCTGGCATAGCAACATGGTTATGGAACGGGATAAGATGTCCATCACTAGATGTCCCAGAACAGTTTCATACATTTAGTTTATAGTAGTAATGTTGATGGGGTATTTTCTAGGGGTTAATGGCTCAAGGGCAGAGTCCTGCCAGGTGGTCATTATGCCTCAGAAAATGCCCTGTGCTACAACCATTAGTACTTCAGTCAGATTATAAAGTATATTATTTCTTTGTCAGAAAACTTATTTAGAGACAACTGTTCGTTAACAATTTATTGTATTTATGTATGATAGGCAGGGCTGGTAGCACTTATTATTAAGGTTGTCAGACACTTCCAGTTATAAGACTCTATTTTCAGTTGCTAATAATTCTGCCAGACTTCAACTGTTCAGGCTGAAATATACCATGCCAGGTCTCTGCCTTATGCTGAGGTTGTGTGAGTTTTTGAAATTTCAGTCAAAATGGTTCAGCTGTTTCAGAAAATGAGGCTAATGAAAAAATGTTGTTTCGCCTTTGTTCAAAAATTCAGGCAACCTTTTTTTTAAAAAGAAGGGGGGGAGCTCTTGTCCCCCCATTCTGTGGAATAGCAACTTGAAATTTAGAAACATGGTGGCCTTTGTGTCAGGGATATGCGTTTTGCTACCCCCGTGAAATCTGACTAAATTTGGCCAAGTTATAAGCCTTTTAAAAATTTTAAGATTCCATCCCTGCTAGGCATGCTGCAGCCAGGGCTTGAAGGAGGACTCTCTCTCTTTCTCTCTCTCTCTCTCTCTCTCTAGTTGCAGCTGTGGGCTGTGCTGTGCCTGGGAGTGTTACATGGAGCCAGTGTCTCATTTGGTGTCAGTGCTCCCTTTGCTAATGCCAAAGCAGCATGGAGGGGGAATCTGTCTGATTTGAAACCAAAGGGGACAAGAGCCAAACCTAGGGTGATGGGGTGCAGAGGAGTGGGTCAGGACAAAGAGTCGGGGCAGTGTGTGGGGAGATTGGACTAGGAGCTAGGGTGGGGGACTGAAAACAAATGGGGACGGGGACAAGGTGGTAGGGGACTGGAGGTTGGGAGAAAAGAAGCAGATTAAATGGGGAGCTGAGAGGGGAAACTGGGGATGAGGAGCCAGAAGGTGCAAAGGAACTAGGACTGGCTGGGCAAGAGACTGGGACTTGGAGATGAGGGTGAGACAGATTGGAGGGATGTAGCAATGGGAGTCAAGATGAGGGGGCAGGGAGGGACAGGCAGAAGAGCCTTTGCCTATTAGAACACAATCCTCTCCAGAGCCTGGAATGGAATGTAAGATTTCCGAGTCTCCTCATTTCTCTGCTGTCAGAAGCAGTGAAACCCACTGGCAAAGTGTCCCATCCACCACCCTGCCCAGAACTAGTCTACATAGAGGATGACAACCTATTACTGCTATCAGCTACTCCATTTGCTCAAATGGCAGAGGTCTTTGCAATAGATTTAAGGGATCCAATCCTGCAGGTGATCCAAGTAGGTGTCAGAATGGTAGAATTTCTTTCTTTTTCCCCCCCAGTTTGCTTTTTTTTAAACCTAGGATGTAACACAAAATCATAACATAATTAAGATTGCAAAGCCAAGCACTCAAAAGTGACGAAATGCCAGAATTAAGATTGCCTGTGGAACCTTAATTTGATCCCTTTGTGCGTATACAATATGATAATATCTAGTTATGTGATCAAATACTATTTTTTCCACTAGACCCCTCTCTCATTCACTGCACTGGATGTTAGTGCTCACTTAATAAGCAACTAATTCAGTGTTTTGTTTTCTCTTCATTGTTCAATGTCATAGTTACAGAATTTAAGGCCAGAAAGGACCCCCAGGTCATATATTCTGGCCTCCTGTATATCATAGGCCACCAGCCCCCTCATGCTAAACCCAACAATTGAAATTAAATCAGGCTATTATGTGCTACAAGCAGAGACTAGGAAGGGCAGAGACCAGGAAGGACAGAGATGAACCAGTGCCTGAGTCCTTTGCAATGGCAGGGGAAAATGTAAAGGAGGTATATCCAGATAATCCTGGCAAGCGAGCCGTGCCAGGGGAAGTCACGTTGCAGGGGAAGGCAAATACCCCACAAGATCACTGCCAACGCAACCTGGAGGATGATTCCTTCCCAACCCCACATATGCAGTCTGTTAGACCCTGAGAATGTGAGCACAGGAAATTTTTGAATTTTCTAATGTCTGAGTGCTTGACTTCACAAACTTAATAATGTTCTTCTAATGTAGTTTTGTGTGTGTGTTTTCCCTTGTCTATTCAGTGGATCCTTTTAAAGTGAGCTTTTCATCTTGTCAAAGATGAATGATTTCCAGTTGGTTATCTCTCTTTCTTTTGGAAAGAAGTTCCAAATGGAGAAGTTTTGGCTTCCTCTTCCTTCCCTCAAGAGGAAGGCGAAATGAAGTGAACGCCTGTTGAAAGGACTTCTTTTTGGAAATCTCTCTGAAGGTCCTTCAGGCTGCTCCTCTCTTTTGTTTGGGTTTCCATAGATTTACTGCTGTTCTTGTGGTATGTTTTTTTGTTTTTGAAGGTAATAGTACCTGTTTCTATGGGAAGTGCTACTATTGTCGAGAAACAGAACCAGCTTGTGCTGATGGAGATACCATGGAGGGGTCAGTCACGCTGTGGCTGCCGGATGTCTGGCCTCTTCAGAAGCACCGGCATCCTTGGGGAAGGACTTACCGTGAAGGCAAATTGGCCAGGTATAAGAACCCGATAGGCCTACTGTAGCGTTTTAGAGTACCCCTATCTTTGCAGTGCTTAGCTGTGACTTGGGCTGTTTAAAGAGCAGTATTCACAAGATACAAAGGAACTTTCAGCCAGTTTTCTTGAACCAAAACTACTAATGAAGGCCTCTGATGGGACAAGCATTAATTTGAGGGAGAGGGAAAAAATCCTATGGACATCCAGGAATGTTAAGTGTCATTTTTTCCCCTCCACTTCTTCCCTGGAAAGTAACTTGCCACACAAGTCAGTGAGCGTTTCAGCCATACCCGAGTTGACTGTGGAATCTCAGCTGCTTACCTCGCACTGCTGAGGCTTTCCTTTTATACTGTGCCCCTATTTGGCTCAACAGAATCCTTTGACACTGAGTTAGTAGTCTTTTTACCTAATTTCATAGGTTTTTATTGGTTCTATTTTTATGGGGTTTTTTTGTTGTGGACCTATGTCAAAAGCTTTTATACCAAAGTAGTTTCGGTGTCTTTGAGGGAGAGTCTGTGCAGCCTGCAAGAGATGAAGTTCTCCTATTTTTTTTAAAGATCAAATTTTTGTGTATTTTTTTTGCTAAGTATATCTCACCTTAAATAGTTTAGAACTGAAAAGTTGTTTGTTAGTTTGTATACCAGCAACATATAGGGATCTGGACCCGTGTCCAAAGAGCACTGTTAGATGGAGACCAGTGTGGGCCTGACAGTTATAAGACAGACACGGTATCTCAAAAATTCTTTAGGGCAGAAACACTTTGGCAGGACTAGCCCAAATGATTTCAAGCTCAGTAAACTTTTCCAAGCATTGATCCAGGACAAGTGACCAGAAAAACGTTTTCAGTCTCTGAAATCTTGTTTGCTGAACTAGATTTTTGGTTCAGCTATTTCCATCAGTTTCTAACTAGCTAGCTATCCACAGAAAGAATCTGAACTTTTTTTTTTTTTTTTTTTTTTGTGGAACTCCTTGCCAGAGGATGTTGTGAAGGCCAAGACTATAACAGGGTTAAAAAAAAAACAAAAAACTCGATAAATTCATGGAGGATAGGTCCATCGATGGCTATTAGCCGGGATGGGCAGGGATGATGTCCCTAGTCTCTGTCTGCCAGAAGCTGGGAATGGGCGACAGGGGATGGATCACTTGATGTTTACCTGTTCTGTTTATTCTCTCTGGGGCACCTGGCACTGGCCACTGTCAGAAGACAGGATACTGGGCTAGATGGACCATTGGTCTGACCCAGGATGGCCATTCTTATGTAAGTTTAGAGCCACCCTGAAAGTCTATGTACAGCACTTAAGCATGTGCCGAACTAATCAAGGCACAAATCTTCTTGTCTGTGTATTTGTGGAAAAGAGAAGAGGAAACATTTTGCTTCTGTTAAGAAGTTGTTTCTCAACTTAGAGGGCCCATTTATGCTCTGTTTTACCATGTTGGAGTGAGAGCTAGAGCTTGTGTGCATGATGGGGTAATGCACACTACAAGGGCATGATTTTAAAGCACACTAAGGTGTTATATATTAATTATAACCCTGCTGGTGTGCACTATAGGTTCCCTTGTGTGCTCTAGCATAGTACTATTTCAAACAGCATTATGTTAAAGCATACCAGCAGGGTCTGCGTGGACTATAAATGCACCACATGTTAGTGCACTTCAGAAATCACATTTCCATAAAGCGCATTACCTCACTGTGTAGGCAAGCTCCAGACTAACCTGACAATCCTTATGTTATAAAATACTTTGTTCTTGCCCATGCAGATAGGATCAAATAACATTGCTCTTTTGTCATGTACTTAACTGTATTGCTGCTTTCACTCTTTGGAAACCTGTCTTCAGGAGTGGGGGAAGAAATATACATATGTTACATATGGCATGTAATGTCCTTTCTGCTGCTCCTAATTATGGAAGATATTGCGTAGGAGTTTTTCCCCTCAAAGCTGCTGCTTCTGCTCTGTCTTGAATAATCCTGTTTAACATTATTAATTTAGTGCCATTAATTTACATAGCCTTGTACTACCATGTACTAGATAAGATCCCTGACCTTCAGAGTCACAATCAAACTCTTCAATAGAATAAAAATTATCAGAAGTAAATGTAGGAGCAGATGGTGCTGGAGAAAGATCAGTGTGGTAACTTGATTGACAAATGGTGGATAGAAAGAGGAATGTGGCATGGTGCAGGGGAAAGGAAAGCTGTTCCAAGTGGAGTAAGAGCTGTCATAAAAAACATGAATTAAAGACTGTGAGGAGGAGGCAGGGGAGCATTTAGGAGAGTGGGATGAGTAACACATAGAGTGTGCATGGGGCATAGGAAGAAATATAAGATGAGATGTTGGAGCTGTGGATTTGTGCAGAATATTGAAGGTGAAGACATGGAGTTTGGGCTTGATGCAGGAAGAAGTGAGGAAGCCAGTGAAAGGATTTGAGGACTGTTAGAGCAGAGAGAGGGGAAGACTTTGGCCCACAGTATTTTGGATAGATAGAGGACAGGTGAGATACAGGGAGCCAGCGTAGAACTTATTCCTGTCCTCTGGGAGACAACACTGATAATGGTTATAACCGCTAAATTCTGTTTCTGCCTCTGCTGGTGACTCACTCTGACTTTGAGCAGGTCAGTTAACCTCTCCATTTTGTAAAATGGGAATACAAACCTTCTTAGGGGTTTTCAGACTTAGTTGATGTTTTGTGAAGAATTTTGAGATCCATGGATAGAAGGTGCTGTAGAAGTTGTACTTATGAGTCAAGATGACAGATGGGTAGGGCATAAATCAGGGTGTTAGCAGATTGCATGGAGAGGAAGAATGGATTTGAGAAAGAGGAAGAAATGACAAGACTTAGCAAGAGCCTGGCTTTGGAGAGGTGGACCTAATGCCCATGTTGCAAGGCTTGGTAACTAGGAAAAGAAACAAGTTTGTTTACATTTGCAGGAGATAATGCTGTCTGCTTCTTGTTTACAATGTCATCTGAAAGTGAGAATAGGTGTTCGTATGACACTGTTGTAGCCGGCATTGCCAGATATGCTAAAGATGCATATGTCCCTTCATGCTTCAGCCACCGTCCCAGAGGACATGCATCCATGCTGATGATGGTTTCTGCTCGATAACTATCCAAAACAGTGCAGACCAACGCATGTTCATTTCATCATCACGAGTCAGATGCCACCAGCAGAAGGTTGATTTTCTTTTTTGGTGGTTTGGGTTCTGTAGTTTCCACATTGGAGTGTTGCTCTTTTAAGATGTCTAAAAGCATGCTCCACATCCCATCCTGATTGGATTTTGGAAGGCACTTCAGATTCTTAAATCTTGGGTCGAGTGCTGTAGCTATCTTTAGAAATCTCACATTGGTACCTTCTTTGCGTTTTGTCAAATCTGCAGTGAAAGTGTTCTTAAAATGAACAACATGTGCTGGGTCATCATCCGAGACTACTATAACATGAAATATATGGCAGAATGCGGATAAAAAACAGAGCAGGAGACATACAATTCTCCCCCCAAGGAGTTCAGTCACAAATTTAATTAATGCCTTATTTTTTAATGAGTGTCATCAGCATGGAAGCATGTCCTCTGGAGTAGTGGCTGAAGCATAAAGGGGCATGCAAATGTTTAGCATATCTGACACGTAAATATCTTGTAATGCCTGCTACAAAAGTGCCATGTGAACATCTGTTCTCGCTTTCAGGTGACATTGTAAATAAGAAGCGGGCAGCATTATTTCCCATAAATGTAAACAAGCTTCTTTGTCTAAGTGATTGGCTTAACAGGAAGTAGCACTGAGTGGACTTGTAGGCTCTGAAGTTTTACAGAGTTTATTTGATATGTTTGTCTAAAACTGTTGCAAAGTGCTCAAGTCTGTCCTTAGGAGTGCCTGGGGGTTGCAGTAGATTGCCATCGTGGTTGACATTGCTTTGATTCCCCTTGTCTGCCTGCAGGTGGGAGTATGACGAGAGCTACTGTGATGCTGTGAAGAAGACCTCACCTTATGACTCAGGCCCCCGCCTCCTTGATATCATTGACACTGCCATCTTTGATTATTTGATTGGGAATGCTGACCGACATCACTATGAAAGCTTCCAGGATGATGAAGGGGCCAGTATGCTTATCCTCCTGGACAATGCCAAAAGGTAGGAAGCATATTAGTACTGGTGGCCACTTGATAATGAGAAAGGCAGCACGCGGTTATCCATATCCCCACTCTGCCTTTCCCATAGTTATCCATTGCAATAGCTCAAGCTAAAACTCTGTCAATATTCCTCACGGCAAATCCTTTCAAATAATATGGGCTCTCAAAGACCTTGGCATTTGTACTGTGCTGGTGATAATCAATGGGACTCAATAATGCCAGGATACAAAATATATAGGAATGACAGAGTAGGTTCGTGATAGTGCGGGAGTGGCACTATATATGAAAGAAAGCATAGAGTCAAAAATAGTAAAAATCATAAATGAATCAAACAGTACCATAGAATCTTCATGGATTGAAATTCCATGCTTGAATTATAAGAGTAAAGCAGTAGGAATATACTACCAACCATCTGACCAGGATGGTGATGGTGATTGTGAAATGCGCAGAAAGATTAGAGAGGCTATAAAAAATAGAAAACTCAGTAATAATGGTTTATTTCAATTATCCCCACATCGACTGGGTACATATCACCTCAGGATGGGATGCAGAGATAAAGTTTCTAGATGCCATTAATGGCTGCTTCTTGGAGCAGCTAGTCCTGGAACCCACAAGGGAAGAGGCAATTCTTGATTTAGTCCTAAGTAGAGCACAGGATCTGGTCCAAGAGGTGTAAATATAGCTGAACCGCTTGGTAATAGCAACTGAAATGTAATTAAATTCAACATGCTTGTGAGGATGGGGAGGGAGGAAATACCAAAGAAGCCCACCACACTAGCATTTTACTTCAGAAAGGGGAACTACACAAAAAATGATGAAGCTAGTTGAACAGAATTTAATACAAACAGTCACGAGTTAAATGCCTGCAAACTGTATGAAAACGTTTTAAAAACATCATAGTAAGAGGACCAAAAAAAGCCACCATGGCTAAACAGAGTAGAAGAGGTGGTTAGAAGCAAAAAGGAATCTTTTAAAAATTGGAAGTCAAATCCTACTGAGAAAAATAGAAAGGAGCATAAACTCTGGCTAGTTAAGTGTAAAAGTATAATTATTAGGCAGGCCAAAAAAGAATTTGAAGAGCAACTAGCAAAAGACACACAAACTTAACAGCAAAAAAATTTAAGTACATCAGAAGCAGGAAGCCTGACAAACAGTTACTGGGGCCACTGGATGATCAAGGTGCTAAAGGATCACTCAAGGAAGACAAGGTTATTGCAGAGAAGTTAAATGAATTCTTTGCAACAGTCTTCACTACAGAGGATGTGAGGGAGATATCCACACCTGAACCGTTCTTTTTAGGTGACACATCTAAGGAACTGTCCCAAATTGTGGTGTCAATAGAGGAGGTTTTTGGGACAAACTGATAAATTAAACAGTAATAAGTCATCAGGACCAGATGGTATTCACCCAAGAATCCTGAAGGAGCTCAAATATGAAATTGCGGAACTACTAAATGTGATATTTAACTTATCATTTAAATCAGCTTTTGTACCAGATGACTGGAGGATAGCTAATGTGATGCCAATTTTTAAAAAAGGCTTCAGAGGCGATCCTGGCAATTACAGGCCAGTCAGCCTAAATTCAGTACTAGGCAAATTGGTTGAAACTATAGTAAAGAGCAGAATTATCAGACACACATATGAACACAATTTGTTGGGGAAGAGTCAACATGGCTTTTGTAAAGAGGAATTGTGCCTCACCGATCTATTAGAATTCTTGAAGGGGTAAACAAACATGTGGACAAGGGTGATCCAGTAGATATAGTGAACTTGAACTTTCAGAAAGCCTTTGATGAGGTCCCTAACCAAAGGTGCTTAAGAAAAGCAAACAGTCATGGAATAAGAGGGAAAGCCCTCTCATGGGTCAGTAACTGGTTAAAAGACAGGAAACAAAGAGTAAGAATAAATGGTCAGTTTTCAGAATGGAGAGAGAGAAATGGTGAGGTCCCCCAGGGATCTGTACTGGGACTGGTGCTGTTCAATGTTTTCATAAATAATTTGGAAAAAGGGGTAAACAGTAAAGTGGCAAAGTTTGCAGATGATAAAAATTACTCAAGATAGTTCAGTTCAAAACAGGCTTCAAAGAGTTACAAAGAGATCTCACAAAACTGGGTGACAGGGCAACACGGGAGATGAAATTCAATGTAGATAAATATAAAATAATGCATACTAGAAAATGTAATCCTGACTATACATACAAAATGATGGGGTCTAATTTAGCTGTTACCACTCAAGAAAGTGATCTTGGAGTCATTATGGATCTCTGAAAACATCAGCTCAATGTGCCTGAGCAGTCAAAAAAGCTAACAGTATTAGGAACCATGAGGAAAGGGATAGGTGATGAATTAGGAAGTGTTATTTACCCCTTCACATAACACAAGAACCAGGCGTCACCTGATTAAATTAAAAAACAAACATAAGGAAGTACTTCTTCCCACAATGCAGTCAATCTGTGGAACTCGTTGCAGGGGATGTTTTGAAGGCTGAAACTGTAACAGGTTTTAAAAAAAGAGTTAGATAAGTTCATGGAGGGTGGTTCCATCAATGAATATTAGTTGAGATAGTCCAGAATGCAGCCCCATGCTCTGGGTGTCCCTGCGCCTCTGTCTGCCAGACGCTGGGACTGGACATCGGGATGGATCACTTGTGAATTGTCCTGTTCTGTTCTTTTCTTTTGAAATATCTGGCATTGGCTTCTGTTGGAAGACAGAGTACTGGGCTGGATGGATCATTGGTCTGACCTGGTATGGACATAAATTTTCCTGATATGTTTCCCAATTATGGAAATTTGTAAACTATTGTGACTGATTTCTACTGGTGCTATGTGAGTGGAGTTTATGTCCTTAACATAAACTCCAATTGAATTTGTGGCACCTTAGAGACTAACCAATTTATTTGAGCATGAGCTTTCGTGAGCGAGTAGCTCACGAAAGCTCATGCTCAAATAAATTGGTTTGTCTCTAAGGTGCCACAAGTACTCCTTTTCTTTTTGCGAATACAGACTAACATGGCTGTTACTCTGAAACCTCCGACTGAATTGAAGAGCTGATCAATTGAAGAGCTCATCCTTAAGGGCACTAATTGCTTTTGAATAGTAGGGAGTTCTTCATTTTAGGATCTATCTACAGGATGAAAGAATGTGCTTTTTTAAAAATCAAGTTAACATGATTGGAAACACCCTTTAGCACTTAGGCTACATCTATGTTTTGAGCTAGGGGTGTGACTCCTAGCTCACGTAGATATACTTGTGCTATCTCTCATCTGAGCTAGTGTCCTAAAAATAATAGTGGAGCTGGGCTAGCATGAGCAGCTGCAGCAGTGGCATGGGGTGTGCTAAGTACAAAACCGCCTGAATTCCATGCATATATACTTGGCATGGCTAGCCCATGCGGCTGCTGTCTGTGCTACCTTGGCTACACGACTATTTTTAGTGTTTAGCGCAGGGGAGAGCTAGCACAAGTATGTCTGTGTGGGCTGGGAATCACACTCCTAGCTTGTAGTATACGTATAGGCTTAGGGGCACGTCTACACTACGAAATTAGGTCGATTTTGTAGACATCGATCTTTAGTAAGCGATTTTATACAGTCGATCGTGCATGTCCCCACTAACCGCACTGTGGGTAGCTATCCCACAGTCCCTGCTGCCCATTGGAATTCTGGGTTAAGCTCCCAATGCCTAACATTGTTGCGGTTGGTTTTGGGTACGTCTTCAGTCTCCCCTCCCTCCTTCCTTGAAAGCAACAGCAAACAATCATTTTGTGCCTTTTGTCCTGGGGTATCTGTGCAGATGCCATAGCACGGTAGGCATGGAGCCTGCTTAGCTGCGCGCAGCTTTTGTGAGCATTGTAAACACCTTGCGCATTATCCTGCAGTATGTGCAGAGCCTAGCTAGGAGCCGCCAGCACGAGGAAGATTGTGAGGAGGACATGGATACAGACATTCCTGAAAGCACGGGATGTGGCAATTGGGATATCATGACAGCATTGGGGCATGTTGATACAGTGGAACACTGATTCTGGGCCTGGCAAACAAGCACTTTCATGGAACTGTGTGAGTTGCTTTCCCCTGCCCTGAAGCACAGGAATACCAAGATGAGACCTGCTCTGACAGTTGAGAAGCGAGTGACAATAGACCTGTGGAAGCTTGCAATGTCTGACTGCTACCGGTCAGTCGGGAATCAATTCGGAGTGGGCAAATCTACCATGGGAGCTGCTGTGATCCAAGTATCCAGGGAAATCAATACCCTTCCTCTAAGAAGGGTAGTGACTCTGGAAAATGTGCAGTTCATAGTGGATGGCTTTGCTGCAATGGGATTCCCTAATTGTGGTGGGGCAATAGACGGAATGGATAAGGTGCCACAAGTACTCCTTTTCTTTTTGCGAATACAGACTAACACGGCTGTTACTCTGAAACCTATCCCTATCTTGGCATCGGACCATCTTGCCAAAGAGTATATAAACTGTAAGGAGTACTTCTCAATGGTGTTGCAAGCACTAGTGGATCACAAGGGCCGTTTCACCGACATCAACATGTGATGGTCGGGAAAGGTGCATGACGCTTGCGTCTTTCGGAACTCCAGACTGTTCGGAAAGCTGCAAGAAGGGACTGTCTTCCCAGACCAGAAAATTACCATTGGGGATGTTGAAATGCCAATAGTTATCCTTGGGGACCCAGCCCACCCCTTGCTTCCATGGCTCATGAAGCTGTACGCAGGCAGCCTGGACAGCAATAAGGAGCAGTTCAACTATAGGCTGAGCAAGTGCAGAATGGTGGTAGAATGTGCCTTTGGATGTTTAAAGGGGTGCTGGCGCTGTTTGCTGAACAGGTTAGACCTCAGTGAAAGCAATATTCCCATTCTTATTGCTCCTTGCTGTGTACTCCATAATATCTGTGAGAGTAAGAGGGAGATGTTTATGGCGGGGTGGGAGGTTGAGGCAAATTGCCTGGCGGACAATTTTGAACAGCCAGACACCAGAGCAATTAGAAGAGCAGACCAAGGGTG